CATCATTTCTAAACTAAATCAAAATAACATTTAAAAGGAGATAATGAATGCCTCTGCATTATCAGCTGTCACTTCCCCTGTATGATGTTGAACCATCAACAGAATATCACTGAATGTTTACCATGACAGTGTTTAGTCAAAAATATTGTTTGCTTTTGATTTATCTCTCCATACTTCACCCTAAATACTTAAAAAAAATTAAAAAAAATATGGACACATCTGTTGTTTACCTCTGTGTGACCACCCCCAACTTCCTGCAGCCTGATAGTGAGTAAGAAGGAGCGGATGCTGGTGAAGGGCTCTGGTTTCCATCTGGACCTGCTGCTGATCGGGGTGCTGGGCGGGGGCTCGGCTCTGTTCGGCCTGCCGTGGATGGCGGCCGCGACCGTGCGCTCAGTGACCCACGTCAACGCCCTCACAGTCATGAGCAAGGCCGTCGCCCCTGGAGACAAGCCTCGCATCCAGGAGGTGAAGGAGCAGAGGGTCACTGGGCTCCTGGTCGCCATCATGGTTGGTGAGTGGTGGACACTGACACATCGCTGCTCTTCTCTCTATCACCAGACTCCTGTTTGGATTTTTAAATGTTTACACGTCTTTTCTCTTCAGGCATGTCCATTGTAATCGCTGACCTGTTGCGTCAGATCCCCCTGGCTGTCCTGTTTGGTATCTTCCTCTATATGGGCGTGATGTCTCTCAATGGCATCCAGCTCACAGAGCGCATGATGCTGCTGCTTATGCCACCAAAGTATCACCCTGACCACACCTACATACGCAAGGTGAGACACTCAAGGTCATTTTTAAAATGTGGGAACCAATGAAACACCATTTTGGTTTGTTTTTTTTAAAATCTGGATCTTAATGAATCTGTTTCCTGCAGGTCCGAACGCTGCGCATGCATCTGTTCACCTGCATCCAGCTGGTGTGTTTGGCGGTTCTGTGGGCGGTCATGTCCACACAGGCGTCCCTGGCTTTCCCCTTCGTCCTCATACTCACCATTCCTGTCAAGATGTTCGTGCTGCGCCGCATCTTCACCGCCAGAGAGATGGAATGTGTACGTTTACCACAGGGGGGCACCATACACTGCTTTATACTTCCTCGCCCCAGATGCAGCAAAGCACACTGGGCTTTAGACGAGAGAAAAGGATCATTAATGGCAACATCGTTTTAAATTGCTTCCAAAAATCTCATGCAGTTTCTTTATGCCTTCAAGCAGAAATACTGTTTATCCAACACAGCTGCCACAGTGAGGTTATTGCTAAGGCTTTAGGAAATGCAAGAGATTTCTTTCTGAATATTAGAAAGATGCAGAGAATTGACAAGTAACCAAACAACCCATTACACTCATTCTATATTCAGAAATCTTTTTCTTTGTTAATCTGCTCATTCTGACGTCTCTCTGCTTCATCCAGTTGGACGCGGACGACGCGGAGCCAAAGTTTGACGAGCGCGAGTGTCATGACGAGTACTCGGAGATGCACATGCCTGTGTAACCCTGCAACATGCCCTCATCGTACCAGTCACCTCCTCTGAGTGGACACCAACATCTGTCGACCACCACCACTTGGATGCAGCGACTCCAACTTGAAGCCCTCATAAAGAAACTTGACGCCACATCACTGTGCACCGCCGGCCCTCATCATCATCATCATCATCATCATCATCATCCTCAAGACGCCAGCACACAGAACGTCAGAGGTGTGTCTGGTTGTTACTGGAGTCAAACTTTTCACTATTTAAGTAGCTTCTTTTATCAGATTGTTGGAGGCTTCTCTGATGGTGAGCAGCACTTTGTGGAACAAACGATGATCAAACTGTCGTTAGCTTGCGTTCATACTTTTTTAAAGTAAACAGGTATTTCAGGGGGGAAAAATCAAACGTGATCTGAAGCTCAGAATTAAATTAACAGTAGATAGATGTGCAAGACCGATTCACTTTTAGCCCTGAAAGGTTGCTCTCATTCACATTGAATATGTGGAGGATATGTGGTAAACATTCTTTTATATGCTAGCTTTTGCTTTTCTAGTTTGTTGCTTTTTTTCGTGTTTTAATCTCACCAAGCGCCTTATGAAGGAAATGAACCGTATATGAGGTGTTTATTTTTCCTCATTCTGTCTTATTGTAGACAGCTGATCACTTTGCCCGCCTCCTGAAGCTCGTAGCACTTTTTAAAGAAACCAAATCTGAACGATGACTGTATTTTATGTGATTTTTTTATCTCTTTAGCATCCTCTTAAATTCAAGAATCAATATCAGCGTAGCTTTAGTTCTCGTCTTCAATAACTGCTTGATTTTTTTTTAGCCTGTCCTTCTATAAATACTCTTTATTTTTTGTGCTCAAATGCAGCAGTTTATTTTGGCTTCAAGTCAACGTCTGTACCTGTAGTGAATGAAAAGCACCAACAGAGGGCGATATTGCAGGACTGTGATAATGACATACCAAAAAAAACAAACAATAACAGTAAATGAAAATGCAATTACACTAACGCCATGACATCATAACACGTTTTTGTGGAAGAAAGAAAACACAGTGGCACAATTTCCTCTAAATGTCTCCACGCACATGTTTAGAGCACCAATGTTCTGAAGGTTTGTTTTGACGTCTCACTCGGTTCGGTTGGTTTTTTGGGAATCGCTGTAATTTATTGGTGTCTTTGTCCGAGTGCCAAAATCATGGCTCGTGTAAATAGTCTTGTGATCAGAACAATAAGCTGCAGTCCAGTCATCTCAATCACTGTAATGTTTTGGCCTAACTCACACATTTATCATGGTGTAACATTCCTCGTTTTATCCAAATTCTTGCTTTTTTGAGGGGGGGGGGGGACTAATCGTTAAAGCAATTTTATTCACTCATGAACTTGTTCGACCAAATTTCCACACGAGCTGTGCTGACAATCTCAATATTGTTGTTACTAAGAGGGAAGGTTTTAAAAAGAAATAATAATAATTAATATAGATACGATATTTGTGATTCTGTTCACGTTGAGTCAGTGTGACAGTGGTTGGTTAGAGCTCGACTCTCCAGCGTGCATGTGAATCGCCACTCGTCCCACCTCAGCCTGTCGCCGTGATCTTGTGCCTGTTCGGTGTCACAAAGCTGCACAAAATCTCAAGTGCCTGTGGGACCATGAAGTGATCAAGTGTCTGTTGTTGTTTGTACGAGCGACACGCGTTACAATAGTTTGCACTTTTCAGACGCTCACAAATCAAACATCTCTCCATTATTTATCTGTTGCAATATGAGGCATTATACAGTAACTGTTTTTATATATATATAAAAAAAAGATTCATTCAGAGTATTTCACGGAACCTTTTTTCTTGGCTGCGTCACGGCCGTGACACTGAAGAGTATATTTATTAGAAGTACATTGTCAGTTTTATGTCTGCTTATTGTGCCTGTGGATGGAGTGAACGTCGTCCGCGTACGTCAAAGTGTTTGTGATGTGTTGATTCATTTCGAAAGCAATACAAAGTCTGAGAGGATATTGCTGATGCTCCCTTGTACATTAATGGTTCAAATATTGATGACAAATAAAAGTTATTTTCTATTTATCCTGGTGAATGCTCTGTCGTGTTTTCAATAGATCCGAGTAAAAAAAATTTTTATTAGAAAATAAATGAAGAGAATACTATAAAAATACAGAAATACACAAATGTAAAAATATAAAGAAAAGTTTAAAGATCTGAAAGAAAATGTGTACATGGTCGTAAATGGTTTATTCAGAACTATTCTGTCTATCCTGCAAATAAATTAAACCAGTTTGATTTTCTAGAATATCAATGAAACCTTAATGTTGAGCTGTAAAGACAAAGAAAACAACTGTAATAGGAACTGACTGTGCTGAGATTTAACATGAGGATTCCTTTAAATCCTCCTGTTGTGGATCAGCAGTGAGTTGCTCTGCGTGTGCAAAGAGGGCTGGATGTCCTGCCCTGCTCATATGGGGGGGGGTGGTTCCCATCACAGCTCCCCCACTGTTACAGACACAGGGAAAAAGATGGCTGCTTTGTTGCTGCTGCTGCTGTCGAGCGCCGGAGCTTTGTTCCTCTCCTCCGATGCACAGGAGGCGTACAACAAACTCCCAGAAACCTACAGGAGAGGAGTGGATCTGGCTCTGGGGAAGCTCAACTCTCACACTGGGATCCAGCACCATTTTCTCTTCTTCAGAAGCGTCACAAAGTCAGACATCGAGGTACTTGCACAGTCATATGTGTTGTTATGTATTTACTGGATGTGCAGTTGACTCATCACGGGGAGTTTTTCTGATAAGCTGTGACTAATATCCTCAGGGAAGGATACTCATCACAGAATGGATTTTGTTTAATCAGTAATCAGTTGTTCAGCTCAGTTCTAACCTTCCTCTTCCTCCCCAGCCTGGATTTGATGTGAGCTACATCTACCACCACTTCTACCTTAAAGCCACCAAGTGCCAACGAGGAACAGTGGACTCCTCGGCGTGCCGGTTCAGGAACGACAGAGTGAGCTTGACCTGATTTCCAGAGCTGTTACTCAACTGAAAAATGTTTCAATGAGGGCGACTGCCTGTTCTAACTTGTCCGTGTCTTTTTGTTTGTGTGCGTTCATGCAGCCGCTGGTCGACTGTGCAGTCTGCTACAAGACTTTCAGAGGAGAGATTGAACAAGAACCCACACCTTATGTTCACTGTATCCACAAACCGGCCCTGACGGAGGTTAGTCCACAGTCTCTCCTCGTCTCCTTTGTGATTTCAGTCTCTTATAAATAACACAACCTCTAACTGTTTTAATCCCATCTTTCTGACTGGCAGGACATGAGGGCGGGCAGAGTGGAGCACTGCAACAGAATGGGCTACAGCAGCGGAGCGCCAACTCTACTGGCATCAACAGGAGCCGACTGAACGCTGTTGTTAACATTGTTGATGACTGTTCTCTCTGGAGACTTGTTTTGAATAGAAGCAGTGAACTGTGTGAGAGTTGTTTATCTGCACGTTAGCGTTCCAAACAGTTGAGAAACGTTTCTGTGTGTGTTTACGTCCACATCAATCTCTCACAATAAAGATAACATGTAAATGGTGAACAATCAAGTGTGTGTTCCTGGTCTTATATCTTTGTGAGGACTTTTTAAAAAGATCCTACATAGTGAGGACATTTTGACTGGTCCTCACTTCTTCAATGTTTGAGGGTTAGAATTAGTTTTAGATTAGAGTCAGGTATTTATTTGGATGGTTACGGTTGGGGTAAGGGGCTAGGGAATGTATTATGTCAATGAGTGACCTCACTAAGATAGAAGTAAAAACACGTGTGACTAGTTGCTGCACATTCAGTTTCATTCATCATCGACTGAATTCAAAGAAAATCTCCGTTTCCTGTCAGTGACCCACTCTCCTGTTCCTGCAGCAGCCACAGAGGATGAAGTGGTTTTAAAAGAATTCCTTCACTCTCTGTTGAGCTTGTTTCTGTCAGTGATATTTATCCTGTCAGCCTTGAGGCTTGTTTCCACGACTTGGTTTACTCATCCAAGTCTCCGCTATGATAACATTACTGGATATGAGTGTAGTTCTACAGCTGGAAACTCCCCATTGAGAGTGGGTTTTGTTTCCCATGCGGGAATTTATGGGAACTGGGGCTTAAAAGCCAACAGCTTGAGACCCTTTGGCAATCCCTGTGTAACTTCTGTAGCCATAATAGGGCTTGTCTTAAAGAGGAGGGAGCTGATCCTCTCAGAACAGCTCTACACACACACACACACACACACACACACACACACTGAGTGAAGATGATGGCTGCTGGGCTGCTGCTGCTGCTGCTCTGTGCCGGAGCTGGGTTTCACTCTGCCGAAGCCCAGGAGCTTTACGATGAGCTGCCTGATGCCTACAAGTTTGGAGTGGACCTGGCGTTCCAGCAGCTCAACCTGCATTCTGGGGTCCAGCATCATTTTAGCTTCTGGAAGACGGTGGATAAGTCCGAAATCGAGGTAAACTCTGAGTTTCTTTATTTTCATGCGATTCATCACTTTAAAAGAGACAAATGTTCTCGACCCAAACTACATCATGGACTTAATAACCCACGTGTGCCCGAGTGTTCACTCAGATGTGTGCATGGAGCTCTGCTGGTTATTCCCTGGTCTCGTTTGGTGACGTTAGAGCCTGAAACTGTGGAACAGCTGTTGAACAGCTGGAGATCAGAGCGACATCCTCATAATGTCTTTTAAAACATTTGAAATTGTAAAGCTTTCATGAGGATTTGACATATTCTGTGTTCTATATCACCTTCTTTCTCTTGCTCTTCTTTTAATCCCCATTTATTTTTTCTGTGTAGTACAGTTTGTTTAAAGTGCAGTGCATGAAGAAAGTGTATTATCATTATTCTTATTCTTTTTTTATATATGGAATCCTTTTTATTTTCGTTTCATGTGATGTTTCAGATTCGTTTATGTCTCAGTATCCTGGTCCTGGCTCTGCCTCCAGGGGATTCTGGTTAATACTTGTTTTCACATCTGCTTCAGGTCAAGTTTACTTTGAATCTTTTAACGTCAACATGTTTTCAGCAGAGAAGACACGGAGGAGGGACATCACGTTCCTCCCATCATCCTTTACTCTAATTCTCTGAAACTCAGTGTGAACTGGCAGCGATTCGGGTTTTGATATTTATGGCTTTCAGTTGTCGACTTGGAGAAATGCCACCGCTGGAAATGAAGCAACTGCAAAACAGTGAAAAGATTTTACTCCACAGAGACATTTTATTATCAGTTATTAATCGAAGACACATAGAAGCGGATACGTTTAAATTTCGCTTTGTGAACTGGCAGCAATTAAGACAAATATCAGCAGAGAAATTAGAAACATGTTTTAAATTATTAAATATATTAGATTTAATATGACTCATTTATAATCTAAGAACTGAACCTGTTTATAATTTGAACTGAATTTGAACTAAGGTCTCTGATGTGAATGAATGAAATAATCTCTAGATTACAACAGCAAGTCATTGTTAATTAGATTAGTTAGATAAAAATAATAATGAAAGAGTAAAATATAATATAATACAATATAATTAGTACCAGATCATATCGTCCTTTCTGAGAAAATTCTTGAAAAAATAATGAAGTAATAAATGATCACAGATTTATTGGGTAATTTATTTGATTTAAAGATTCAAACATTATTTATTTTTTCCTTCTTTTTATTGTGTCATCTCTTCTCTACGTCACTACTTTATGTTTGGTCAGATCCGACTGAAGTATATTCAACAGGCGATAAGAAATAATAATAATATGTTAAATAAATAATAAATCCACTGTTTAGATGTTTCCAGCTTTTGCTTTGCTGCTTTTTTCAATTTTTATCTCATATTGAAATTGCACCTCGTTCTCTTTCAGGGAGGATTCGCTGTGAAATACATCTACCACCACTTTTACATGAAACCCACCACGTGTCCCAAAGGAACGAATGAGTCCAGCCCTGTGAGATGTCCCTTCAGGAACGACAGAGTGAGCAGACGTCAAGGAGACAAACATTAGTTTTCACATAAACACCAACAGCTTCCTCATGCTCTGTCTGTAATCTTCTTCCACGTCCCAGCCACTGATGGATTGTGCCGTTTGCTACAAAACAGCAGCCGAGCAGATAGAGGCCAGCCCCAAGCCGTACGTTAACTGCATCCAGAAGCGGAGACTTACAAAGGTAGTGTAATTACCCATCATGCCATCTGTTCGCTATGGTTTCCTCAGCAAAATGTTCTCACATACTTTTCACTTTATGGCTTTGAAGTTGGCTTTGAAGAATCTTTATGTGTTGATACATCAGAACACATCATGTAACTCCTCCTATAAGGAGCCGTTTAAATTCAAAAACTTTATATTTACATCAGGAGCGGGTCCTCTCTATGGAGGCCGCCATGTTAAACACCCTTTGAGTTTTTATGACAAATGAAGTTTACCACAGGTTCTCGTGTTTGGAAGGGGAGGGTGAGATGAGGGGGTATTCAGCTGCAACATGCAACCTCACCACTAGATGTCACTATATTCTACACACTGAATCTCTAATGTGTTTATCTCTCATGTTTCAGGAAATGAGGCTGAGCAGGGTGGAGCACTGCAAAAAAATGAGCTACAACAGTGGAGCTCCGACACTTTTGGCCGTGTCCACCGGCTAAACAGATATTCAGAATCAAACTAGCATGCTTGATATAATAACATGTCTCATATCATAGTGTATCTGGCAACATGCTTAAGAATCCACAGCCCTGTTAAGCTGCTTCCTGTAATCACTCTGAAATGTTGAAATCTCTAACGTCCCTTAAAGGCTCCTCACCGCTGTGATGCAATATCCTCTTCACTCTGATCTCTGATGTGATGTTTAATTAAAGACTGGTTTATCTGCAACCACAGAATCCAGCAGAGTGTGTTCATCCGTGAGAAATCACTGATATAATTTATCTGGGTTGTGTGTGGACTTGTTAGACGACCACAACAAATAAAGTTAATCTTACACAATTCTCACTTCTTGACTACTTGACTGAAGGACTGCAACTGAGATCCACCTCTTTTCTTTCATTTGTCACGGTGCATAAAATCAATGAAAATGATCTTTCAGGACTTAAAGTGTTTTCTGTAAGACTCAAAACAGGAATATCGAATT